GGATGTCATGCTGGGTAAGATGGAGGGTCAGAGAAAAAGAGGAAGACCCCCCAACGAGATGGATTGGCCAGGTGGCATCATTGATGGCGTCAAGTGTGTCGGCGGTAGTGAGGTTGGCCCAGGATCGGACATTGTTTCATTCTGCTGTGATGGGTTCGCTTTGAGTTGGTTCTGACTCGATGGCACCTGACAACAACAACAAGGCTAAATAAGAACTATATGAATGTGGTCTGACTTGTATACAAATTTCACTTAAAGACACATACATTTAGGATCTGGTTTGTAACTTGGGAATTGCCAGGATAGATGTGTAAATGAATGTTAACTAAAACTGTTGAGAACTCTTGAAGTATTATCCTGTTATAGGTGAGATAAATTGTTTTAGGAGGCTTGATGGAGATTGTATATATCACACACATTAAAAGCAATAATTTGAACTAAAGAAATTAGAGTTTTGTCACATTCGAGCATAGCCTATAATTGACTAGTCTTTTTCAACTCATCTCTGAAAGATGAAATATTCATTGTGGAGCCTTTTGGTACACGCAGGCCATATAGTTAGCTATCATATTTGCTTACAACTTTTAAAGTGGAATGCTCTGAGTGGGTCTGTGCCTTTTGTACTTATGAAATTAAACTATTTGAGAGACATTGCATTTATAGAATGCAGAGTCTTGGTGTGGTGCTGTGGGTTCACGTGCCAGACTGCAAAGCCATTTGAACTGCAAGGTCAGCGGTTCAAGCTCATCAGCTTCTCCTCGGAAACACTTTACACAGGGTTGCTATGGTTGGAACTGCTCGACAGCACTTAACAACAACAACAATAAGAATTTAGGGAGAGCTTTGCATTGGTCTTATTGGTACTTGGAATTTCTTTATGTGGGAAGAATCTTATGAGAGGCTGCTATCACTTAAGATCAAAATCAAGTGAGTACAGAGAATGCCAGAGAGACCATATTTTGATTACATAGCAGTAGTCAGAAATCACACATTTAGTATCATCAGAGATAGAAGTCAGTTAGAGTCAGATGGGCCTAAATTATTAACTTTTTTTTTCCTAACTGAAGCTTGACAAAGTTAAAGAATTTTCATATTTCAAGAATAAGTAGGAGAGACGTTTGTTAAGACTTGGCTTAAAACTAACCTAGAAAACAGGGTGTAAACTTCAACACAAGGATTTTTATGTATACCTAGCCCAAGCATTGAGACTTAGGATAGGAAACCTGGAGACAGGTAAACCTTGAGACTGTTGCTATCATGTATAAACAGTGAGGTGAGTTAAAACCCCAGGCATTCAGAATTTATGAAAATTTGGACGCTTAAGTGCCGTCAAATCAGTCCTGACTTATAGCAGCCCTATTTAGGGCGTCCAAGGAGCAGCTGGTGAGTTTGAACTGTCAACTTTGTGGTTAGCAGTCCAGTAGTTATCCTACAGTGCCATACCAGGACTCCCCTGACAAGAGTAGGGTAAGCTGAAGGTTGTGTTAAAATAAAGGTTCCAGAGAGAATGATCTTTAAATATTAAGCTAATTACACTACCTATATGGAAAAACGTATTATGGCAAGCTAGATTAGTTTATATACTTGAGAGCAATAAAGCTGTATTTTTTCTCAGGAGGCTGAAATTTAGATTTTTAAATCAATATCTTTTTCATTCAGAAGAGTTTGGATTGAATAGCTAGAAAGTATAGTATTTGTGGTGTTCCTGGTTTAGAATTGGCATGCTGTCAATACTTGTGAAGCTGACATTGTGAAATTATTGTTCATCAAAACAGTAGCACTGGTATTTTTCAAAAGCACAGCTGTTTGTTTGGTGCGACAATGTGTTAAATGTTTGACTCTGTTCTCTTCAGGTTGTTGGGAAGCATGGCGCTGTCTAATCACTATCGTTCTGAGGACTTGTTAGACGTTGATACAGCTGCCGGAGGATTCCAGCAGAGACAGGGCCTGAAATATTGTCTCCCTTTAACTTTTTGCATACACACTGGTTTGAGTCAGTACATAGCAGTGGAAGCTGCAGAAGGCCGAAACAAAAATGAAGTTTTCTACCAATGTCCAGTAAGTAGAAAGTGTGTTCAAATGTGGCTTTAAGATATGCTCTGATGGTATATTAATATGTGTGCATTAGATAGTTTCAGGGGAGTAGAATGAAGATAAAACATTATGCAGTTTATCACAAGCCTACCCAACTTTTTGATGTTATGTGAGTTTCTGACTCATAACGACCCAAGGTGGGCTCAAACAGCTGACCTTGCATTCACAGTCCAGTGCTTAACCTACACAGCCACTAGGTTCCTACCTACATAACTTGTTGTCATTAAGTGCAATCGAGCCAGTTCTGACTGATAATGACCTGCTAGGGTTTCTAAAGAGTAGCTGGTAGGTTTGAACCACCAACCTTGTATTTAGCAGTCCAGTTCTTATGCTACAGCACCACACCAGGACTCCACTAACTAGAGGGTTAATATTCTGACTTGGCATAAAATAAATGCCTAAAGAAATGTTTACCAATGAACAAACAGTGCAAACTATAGTAGATACAGAGGGAAAGCTGTGATTTGCGTTAATTTTGTTTTTTTTAAGCTTAAGGAAAACTAATGAGGAATCTTTTGTTGAAATAATTAGCTGTAATATACTTTTCGGAGTCTTGGGGTGGCACTGTAGGATAAAGCACTGGACTGCAAGGTTGGTTTGAACCGGAAGGTTGGAGGTTCAAACTCATCAACTGCTCCTCGGAAACACTATACAGGGTTGCTATGAGTTGGAACTGACTTGCAACACTTAACAACAGCAACAATCTACTTTTCTAAATTTTTTTAAAATTTAGAGTAGGAACATTCTTTGATTCAAATCCTGAGTACAGTGAAAACTTTTAAAATTCTCTCTCCAGTAGGTATTTTCGTTTTCTAAAAATGTAGTTCATTATAGGAGAGGGTGTTACAGTTTATAGTAGAAGATATGGTATTCAGTTTCATTTTTTTCTTCAGCTGTTCTTGGTGACTCTTAGAGCTTCCACTTTCATTTCTGCCTAGCTTTCAACTTGTGACTCAAAAGAGGATTATAGATTAAAAACTGAATTTTTATTATCCCTTATTTGAGACATGTAATTCTATTTTCTAAGCATTTCCACATCTTTTACCTCATTTTTGACTTGGCACATTTTTAAGCTTGGCAGGGTGGTTGCTGGTTTGACTAACCTGGACTTTTTCAGATTCCTGGGCTCTAAATCCAAAGTCCCTTCTTCTAGGATAATAAGCCAGGAATCTTTTTACTGTAACTTCCTAATTGTTTTCCTGAAGGAGAATTTTTCAGTTTATTGTAATAGTTAATAACTCTATTTTAACGTTTTATTAAATTTTTATATATTATTTCAAGAGTTAAAATAAAGTTATAATGAGAGCTTTATAATGAGAGCCCAAGTAAAAAAATCTTAAGAACAGGAACAGGAAAATGTGAAGAATTTGCGAGTATTGGTTGGAGTACTTAAGCTATTTTTGTTTTTGTCTCATTTAAGGATACAAATAAGGAACATTGAGAAATTAGGACAAATATGTTATTATGAATTATGACATTCTTTTTTTCTCCTAGGACCAAATAGCTCGGAATCCAGCTGCTATCGACATGTTTATTATAGGTAGGGGAAAAAAAAGTCTTTGCCTTTTTTCTTCCTGGTCAAAAAAAATTAAATTGGTAAAAACCTTTTTCAGCTACTTGAGCAACTAGCAATTTAAGACTTGTTTGTTTTTGTTAAAGTAATACGTCTAGGCTCTCATTGGAACAGCACTTATATTTTGTTTGAATTTAATTTCTATTCGGGTATAATAAAAGCTTTGCCCTTGGCAATCTCATGCTCTTAGGATGTAGAAGAGTGAAATGTTTAGAACTGCCTCGAGTGGATATGTGTTTCTGTCTTAGTTATCTAATGCTGCTGTCGCAGAAACAGCACATGTAGATGACTGCAAGAGACAGAAATGTAGTCGCTCCCAGTTTAGAAGGCTGGAAGTCTAAATTCAGAGTACCAGCTCGGGAGAAAGGTCCTTGTCTCCTTTCAACATCTGTAGGAGTTTTCCATGTATTTGGGCTTCAGTCTTTCTCTGGATCTCGGAGCTTCACAGTGCAGCGACCCCAGGTCCAAAGGACACACCCCACTCCCACTCTCCCAGCACTTCTGTCTTGGTGGTTGTAGGTCCCCCCTCTGCTCAAGTCTCTCTCCTTTTATCACTTGTAAGAGAAAAGGTGTTGCATGCCACAGCCTTGGGGACTTCCATAAATCAGATCAGAATGGTGGTGGGATTAAGGGGGTTGTTAAGTACTGTCAGTTCCAGAACTGACTGGTGGGTGTGAATCCGGACCTTGCAATTAGCAATCCAGTACGTATCCTATAGCCCTACACCATGGCTCCCACCCTTAGTCCTCGTATTGGTTTATTACAGCAAATCCCATCAAGGGAAAGTAGCTACATCTCAGCTCCCAAACCATTGAGAATCCTGGCCCAGTCAAGTTGACACAAATCCTTAACTATTACAGTTCCCTTAATCTGCCTGTGCTTTTTCTATCTATCAGATTTAGAGACCAGTATAAACTATATGCTTCATAAGCTCTCTGACACATCTCTTTTTTTTTTTTTTTTTTGCCTTAAAAAGAGGCATTTCTTAGAGGTTTGTGAGAACTCTTCAGTTTGCATGTAAATGCAGCATACCCCTTCATTCTTATTTTGCTCACTTAGAGAAGCTTTCTTTACACCCCATTCTGTTTTTTGAAGGCATTGGTGCCATATATTAAACATCCCCAGATATTGATAGTAAGGTGCCTTGCAGGTTAAAGGGTCTGTTAATTAATATCACCTAATTGGAATTAACTATCAACACTCACGGAAGCAGTAGTCAAGAGATCAGACGATGTATTGCATTGGGCAAATCTGCTGCACAGGAACTTTTTAAAGTGTTGAAGAGCAAAGATGTCAGCTTGAGGATTAAGATGCGCTTGACCCAAGCCATGGTATTGTCAGTAACCTCATATGGATGCGAAGGCTGGACAATGAATAAGAAGAATTGATGCCTGTGAAATGTGGTGTTGGAGGAGAATACAAAAAGTGCCATGGGCTGCCAAAAGAACCAATAGATTTGTTTTGGAAGAAGTGCAGCCAGAATGCTCCTTGGAGGCCAAGATGGCCAAACTTTGTTTCTCATACTTTGGACATATTGTCAGGAGGGACCAGTCGCTGGAGAAGGATATATCATGTTTGGTAAAATGGAGGGTCAGAGAAAAAGAGGAAGACCCCCAACGAGATGGATTGGCCAAGTGGCATCATCGATGGACTCAAGTGTGGCAATAGTAGTGAGGTTGGCCCAGGATCGGACATTGTTTCGTTCTGCTGTGCATAGGGTCACTATGAGTCGGTGACGACTCGATGGCACCTAACAACAACAACAACAAATTGGAATCTTGACCACAATAGTAATCCTCCATTTATTCCCTGTTGTGACTTGTTCTAGGTCTGTGGTATACTATAAGAAAAAGTTACCATAGCAAACTATAAAAAGTTCTTAAACTTAGACCTAACTTTTCAGCTCGCCCTGATTTGTGTGATCTCTTCCTCCTCAGTTTCCATTAGGTTGATTTTGGCTTGTGGTGACCCATATGTGTAAAAATAGAAATGTGTTCCATAGGGTTTTCATTGACTGATTTTTCTGAAGTAGGTAACTAGACCAACACACCTCAGGGTGGATTTGAACATTCAACCTTTTGTTTAACAGCTAAATCCCAAGGGAATAATATAGACAGAATTGAGACTAGGAATTGACCAGATAAAGGATTAATATTTGTATCCATAAATGTTTCCAGGTTTGATTTCACATCTTAAGTAGAAGAAAATTATAAATTGTTTTCTGTATTTTACAAAACAATTTTTCTTCTTTTTTTTTTTTTCCTTCTTGGTTTATAGGTGCTACTTTTACTGACTGGTTTACCTCTTATGTCAGCAACGTTGTATCAGGTGGCTTCCCTATCATCAGAGACCAAATTTTCAGGTATTTCACTTGTAGCTTTTTAGATGAAGATGATTGTGAATCAGAAAAATGTCCTAGATTATGAGATGAAGTTTCCTAAGAAGGATAATAATAACAGAACCCAACACTCAGTATCTTATATCTTGCTATTTTATCCTCACTTTTAAAGGAGCAACTAGCATTTTTCTTACCTTGAATAATCCAGAAAAAAAAACACAAACAGATTTTGATTTAGAAGTTACGGCTCTATAGAAACTAAGTTTATATGGTGAGGGGAAGGGGGATTGTTTGCTAATTTATAGATTTACTGTGAGAAGCAAGTTAGTTGCCATTAACTTCTGGTAAAAATTATTAATAATCTCTAAACAGAATATGTTTTGGCACTGTGGGTTATGCACTGGACTGCAAAGTCAGTTTGAACTATAAGGTTGGCAGTTCAAGCTCACTAGCTGCTCCTAGGAAACACTATACAGAGTTCCTATGGGTTGGAACCAACTCGACGGCACTTAACAACATTAGTTACAATATTCAGGAATTGTAGATGGTATTCACAATGGCTGGATTTACAGGAACAATAGATAATTGTCAATTCCTGTTCTCTAATAGGACTTCTGATGTGGCACTGTAGGATTAACACAGGACTTCAAACCACAGGCCCACAGTTCAAACTCACCAGCTGCTCCTTGGAAGCCCTATCCACACAGTCAGAACTGACTCAATGACACTTAACAGTTCTCTAAGAGAAGTCCTAATGTAGCACTGTAGGGTAAGAACTGGACTGCTAACCTCAAGATTGATGGTTCAGACCTACCAGCTGTTCTTTGGAAACCTTATACAGGATCACTATGAGTCAGAACTGACTCAATGGCACTTAACTACAACAAATTCTCTAAGAGCAATATACTAACATTTTTATGAGTCAGAGTCACATTTATTGGGTATGATTGAGTTTTCATGGAGTCACAAAAGTTTCCATACCTCTGTAAAATGCTTGTCCCAGTTTCCAAACTAATTTTGAACCAGTAATAGTAAACCTCAGACTGCCATTATCGATCCAGCGATGCCAAAGTTTTCTAGTTAGTTTATAATTTCTAGTTCTTCTCTAAGATCAATAATGACTGTACCTTTAAAGTCTAGAACATAATGTGTTTCAAGTTTTTTATCTTAAAGTTTAAGCTGTTTTACATTGTATCTTTATATCTTTTATAGAATTGAAATTAGTGGATTAAAAATGTTAAAAATTGTCTTAATTTAGGTATGTACATGATCCAGAGTGTGTTGCAACAACTGGGGATATTACAGTTTCGGTTTCCACATCGTTTCTACCAGAACTTAGCTCTGTACATCCTCCCCACTATTTCTTCACATACCGAATCAGGTGAGCGTTTTAAAGGGGATCACCCTTCAGTTATTAGTGGGGTATAGCCAACGGGTGTGTGACATGATATATGAAGCACATTTTGAAAGGCAGCTTCTTGCTAAAGTTTGGAGGCAGAAGGGTGGCAGGATTTTTTTTACAATATATTATCTGAAAGTACCTTGAGTATACATTAACCTTTAAGTTATTTATTGCAGATATCCTATGTAGGAAGTATTGTGCCAAGTGCAATTTCTAGGTACAGTTAAAGCTGTATATTAGAGTTATAATGTATTCTAAGAGCTACCAAATTGCCCAGGAGAAAACCATGTATTTTAAATTTCATCTGGCCTGTCTATATTTATTTCACTAAAAAGCTTTTCATTGCTTCCTGTATGTTAAACATGGTTTTAAACATTGGATTTGGTTTAAAATGCAGGTATTTTAAATTCTCCTTAATTAGAAGTTTTCTGTGCTATAACACAAAGACAAATCATTGTTCCAAGGGATTAAGGAAACTTTTTCTTAAAATATATCCTTATATATTTTATAATGTGTTATATGTATACACAGGGCTTCAAAAAGTTTGTGGGAAAAAAATCCATTCTCTTTTAATTCCATTTGTCCACAAACTTTTTGAAGCCCCCTCATATATTGTGAAACATACATTCTCTTACACATACTTGAAATGTTTTAGGCTAGAAATATCTGCTTCATGAATTTTCATTTCTTGTTTAACAACAGTCCTTATGCTGGGTTTCTTTATCTTGAAATGGCAGGCAGACCTCAACCAGTACCTCCCCAAACCAAACCCACTGCCATCAGTCTGTAGTACATATCAGACAATTCACCTTTTTCTTGTAATGCCATGATTTTTCTCTGCTTCTTGGGAGCACTTTCAATACCACTAGGGGCAGCCTGCATGGAGCCCGTGATTTATTCAGAAATTATGGTATGGCACTAAACAGCATGAACAATACACAAGAACCATGAGAGATCACTTTTTTGCTGTGATGCATAATTTCCTAGAAAGACAAACTGCACATGTGGAAATTATTGTCATCATACGGCATTCTTAAAACAATCTTTGTACAAGTGTATCCACACAGTTTAAACTTATTTTGTTCAAGGGTTAACAATACTGGGAAATTGAGTCAAGGTGGCATTTTACTTTGAGCTTTCCAGCACTTAGTGTGAAAAAGGAAAATCGGTTGTATAGTCTTGTAATGAAAAGAATATAGGTCTTTAGAAATTTTTCCATGGTATTGTATTCTAGAAAGAGTTTATAAGTTTGGTCTTTGTTTGAATAGCAAAAGATTTTTGTGACCATTGTATTTGTGTTTTTAATGTTGCCCTTTCTATTGTTGCTCCTCACTGAAATTTGATTGCACAAAATTAACTGAAAGCATTCCTCTGGGGGATCAAGCTGTATAAGCTAATATCTTTGAAAAATTATAGGAATAGACAGTTAACATAGGCTCTGGGTTTGGGTTTGTTACTTTCCTTTGGAACGTGATTAGCCTGAATACTGAGACTCTTAAAGAGAACAAAAGGTCAGCTTTGTGTTTTCACCACCTCTGTGTCTTCTCCAGGATTGAAATGTCCAAGGATGCACTTCCTGAGAAGGCTTGTCAGTTGGACAGTCGCTACTGGAGAATAACAAATGCTAAAGGTGATGTCGAAGAAGTTCAAGGACCTGGAGTCGTTGGTATGTAACCCAAGATTGAGGCTTTACATCAATTACTTCTACAAAGTTTCAGAGAGTACATATGGGTCACTCAGCATGAAGAATGTGTGATTCAGTTCATAGATAAGATTGCATCATTTTAGTAGTAAGATTCTACAATGTGAAAGGTATCATAGATTCTGGGTGTCACCTAGCTATAGTAAATGTTTTAAATAAGATATTGTTGATGTTGCTATTGTTTAGTGTCATTGAGTTGGTTGTGACTCACAGCGACCCTCTGGAGGGTCTGAACAATTGGTGGGTTTGAGCAGCTAGCAGTTCAGTGCTTATCCTACAAAGTCATTATCCTGCCAGTTTGTTCCCTAAAACATTAATATTTCTAAAATAATATCAAGCTCAATTATTCAAGAATTGATTTTACATTTTGTTGGTCACCTAGCCTCCTGGCTTTCTTCTTGTGTTCTTTATTTTCTCAGTCCGGCTAATTATTCATTATCATATTCTGTAGGGAGTTAGAAGATACAGAGCAAATAAGAGAAAATGAATTTCATATTGGTTACTTTTATGATGTTAGGAGGTAAATGTTAAAATTAATAGCATGGATATTTATTGCTTACATATTTCAGTCATCTTTAGCTCTAGTTACCATTGGCATTCAGCTTTTTAAAATTGTGATAATCTTAAGTTTCTAAACCGTCACATTTTTTGAGTTTTTGATTGTGTACTTCAGGAAAATAACATAATATTTAAGCTATGCACTTCTGTTATCAGTCGTAAGCATACACAGAATTCCGTTTAATAGACTCATGTTCTACATGTTTGTGTGTTAATTTGAGGATCTGTTGTTGTTAGGTGCCATTGAATCCATACCAACTGTTAGCAACCTCATGCACAACAGAATGGAACACTGCGGTCTTACGTCAACCTCATCATCACTGCCACACTTGAGCTCATGTACCACTACATCTCCTTGGAGCTCTTTCTCTTTTTCATTGACCCTCCACTTTACCAAGCCTGATGTCTTCTCCAGGAATTGGTCCCTCCTGATAATATGTCGCAAGTATGAGAAGCAAAGCCTGGCCATATTGAGTTCTAAGGAGCATTCTGGCTATACTTCTTCTAACACAGATTGGTTTGTTCTTTTGGCAGTCCATGGTACTTTAATATTCTCCTCCAATGCCATAACTCAAATACCTCAATTCTTTTATGATCTTCTTTATTCATTGTCCAAATTTCACATGCATATGAGAATATTGGAAACACTATGGCTTGGGTCAGGCACACCTCAATTCTCAAATTGACAGCTTCGCTCTTGAACATTTTAAAGAGGTCTTTTGCAAGCGATTTGCCTAATGCAGTACATCATTTGATTTCTTGACTGCTGCTTCCATGAGTGTTGATGGTTGATCCAAGCAAAATGAAGTCTTTGACAACTTCATAGTCTTTTCTCCACTTACCTTGATGTTATTTATTGGTCCAGTGGTGAGGATTTTTGTTTTCTTTTCATTAAGGTGCATCTCATACTGAAGGCTGTGGTTTTTGCTCTTCGTCAGTAAGTATTATAAGTCCTCTTCGCTTTCAGCAAGCAAGGTTGTGTCATTTGCATGATGCAGGTTGTTGATGTCACATTTTTCTTCACATAATCTAGCTTCTCAGATTATTTGCTCAGCATACAGATTGAAAAAGTTTATGGTGAAAGAATACCCTGGCACACACCTTTCCTAATTTTAAAGCATTCAGTGTTTACTTGATCTGTTTGAACAGCTGCCTGTTGGTCTATGTACAGGTTCCTCATGAGCGCAAATGTACAGGTTCTTCATAAGCACAATTATGTGTTCCAAAATACTCATTCTCTACAATGTTGTCCATAGCTTGTCGTGATCCCCACAATCAAAAGGCTTTGTGTAGTTAATAAAACATAGGGAAACATCTTTCTGGTGTTCTCAGCTTTCAGCCAAGATCCATCTGATGTCAGCAATGATACCCTTTGTTCCATATCCTCATCTGAGTCAAGCTTGAACCTCTGACAGTTTCCTGTCAGTGTTGCAGCCGTTTTTTAATTCTCTTTAGCAGAATTTTACTTGCATGCGATATTAATGATAATTGTCCAATGATTTCTGCATTCCATTGGGTCCACCCATCTTTGGAATGGGCACAAATATGGATCTCTCCCCATCAGTTGGACAGGTAGCTCACTTCCAAGTTTCTTGGCATAGATGACTGAGTGCCTACAGTGGCACATCAATTTGTTGAAAGGTTTCAATTTGTATTCCATCAATTCCCAAAGTCATGTTCTTTGCCAATGGCTTCATGCAACTTGAACTTCTTCCTTCAGTACCATTGGCTCTTATCATCTGCTACCTCTTGAAATGGTTGAACATCAACCATCTCTTTTTTGTACAGTGACTGTGTATTCCTTACATCTTCTCCAATGATGCTTTCTATATCATTCAGTATTTTGCCTATAAAATCCTTCAATATTGCAAGTCGAGACTTGAATTTTTTCTTCAGTTCCTTCAGCTTGAGAAATGTTGAGCATGTTCTTCCCCTTTCGTTTTCTAACTTCAGGTCATTTGCACATTTTGTTATAATATTTGACTTTGCCTTCTCTAGATGACCTTTGAAATTTTCTGTTCAGCTCTTTTGCCTCTTCATTTCTTTCATTTACGTTAGCATGTCTACACTGGAGAGCAACTTTCAGAGTCTTTTCTGACATCCATTCTGGTCTTTTCCTTCTTTCTTGTCTTCTTAATGGTTTTTTACTTTCTTTGTGTATGGTGTTCTTGACGTCATCCCACAACTCTTCTGATCTTCAGTCTTTAGTGTCTAATGCATCAAACTTGTTCTTCAGATGATCATTAAATTCAGTTGGAATATTTTGTCTCTCATGGACTTATTTTAATTTTCTTCAGCTTTAGCTTAAACTTGCATATGAGCAGTTAATGGTCTGTTCCATAGTCTGACGCTGGCCTTGTTTTGGCTGATGATTTTGAGGTTCTCCACCATCTCTTCCATGGCTATAGATAGTTTGATCCCTGTGTTTCCCATCTGATGAGGTCTGTGTGTGTAATCATTTATGTTGTTTAAAAAAGGTATTTGCAATGAACATGTCATTCATTGATCTTGCAAAATTCTGTCATGCAATCTCCAGCATTGTTTCTGTCACCAAGGCCTTATTTTCCAATGACTGATCCTTTCTCTTTGTTTCCAACCTTTGCATTCCAGTCACCTATAACTATCCTAATTGCATGTTTGATACTTACATTTCAATAAAGATAAAATACATCTTAATTGTATGTTTGATCAATTTCAGACTGAAGAAGTTGGTAGAATTCTTCAATTATATCATCCCTCACATTAGTGATTGGTGCATAAATTTGAATAATAGTTGTATTAATTGTTCTTTGTTGTGGGTGTATGGATATTGTCCTATCACAGGCAGCGTTGTACTTCAAGATGGATCTTGAAATGGTCTTTTTGATGATGAATGATATACCATTCCTCTTCAATTTGTCATTCTAAGCATAGTAAACTTTGTAGTTGTCAGATTCAAAATGACCAATACCAGTCTATTTCAGCTCACTAATGCCTAGGATTTATGTATTCCATTCATTTTTGACAACTTCCAGTATTCCTAAATTGTATTACAGTGTAATCCTTTTCCTGTCATTTGGTGTATTGGACTTTCCCTGTGACTGATTGCTGTATTGTGATATATGTGATATATGTTTAGAACTTTATGTCTTAGTCTTTTGCTACTTTTAAATATTTAGATTACCCTTATCTACATTTTAACTAGTAGTAATGTCTAAAAGATGATGTCTTCACTGCCTCAAAGCACTTTGCAAAAGAAAGTGAACCCCGCCTTTTTTTAAACTCATTTTACCCCCTATGATTTTTGTTTTCTTTACAAAAGATAACAAAAATCCTCACCACTGAACCAATAAACAACATTCTTATCAATGGAAAAAAGATTGAAGTTGTCAAGGACTTCATTCTTCTTGGATCAACTATCAACACTCATGGAAGCAGCAGTCAAGAAACAAACAACGTATCGCATTAGGCAAATCTGCTGCACAAGACCTTTTTAAAGTGTTGAATAGCAAATATGTCAGCTTGAGGACTAAGTGGCGCCTGACCCAAGCCATGGTATTTTCAATAACCTCATATGCATGCAAAAGCTGGACAGTGAATAAGGAAGACCGTAGAAGAATTGATGCTTTTGAATTGTGATGTTGGAGGAGAATATTGAAAATGCCATGGGCTGCCAAAAGAACCAATAGATCGTTTTGGAAGAAATGCAGCCAGAATGCTCCTTGGAGGCCAACGTGGCCAAACTTCGTCTCTCATACTTTGGCCATATTGTCAGGAGGGACCAGTTGCTGGAGAAGGATATCATGTTTGGTAAGGTGGACGGTCAGAGAAAAAGAGGAAGACCCCCAATGAAATGGATTGGCCAAGTGGCAGCATCAGTGGACTCAAGCATGGCAACAGTTGTGAGGTTGGCCCAGGATCGGGCAGTGTTTTGTTCTGCTGTGCATAAGGTCGCTATGGGTCAGTACTGACTCAATGTCACTTAACAAGAACAACAACCCCCTATGATGTTGAAATATTGGGAATACAAAAAAATAAAGAGGAATAAATTACTCAATCCTGGTATGGCACTGTAGGATAAGCTCTTGACTGCAAACCACAGGACTGATGGTTCAACCCCATCTGCTGCTCCTCGGAAACCCTATACTGGGTCACTGAGTCAGAACCAGCTCTATGGCACCTAAACAACAACAATCCCATCATTGTTAACTTTTTATTAAATTTGCATTTTTAAAGTTCTGTTTTTATAAGCAGGGCATGTATTTTACATAGTTTACATAATCTTGTAGAGGACATATACTTTTTACTGTAATGAAAAAAACCTGAATTTTATACTTTGTCTCTACAGGTGAATTTCCAATCATCAGCCCAGGTCGGGTATATGAATATACAAGTTGTACTACGTTCTCTACAACATCAGGATATATGGAAGGATACTATACCTTCCATTTTCTTTACTTTAAAGAAAAGATCTTTAATGTTGCCATTCCCCGATTCCATATGGCATGTCCGACATTTAGGGTGTCTATAGCCCGATTGGTAAGTTAAGGTTTCCTCTGGAAGCTCATTTACGTGACTTTGTAAGATTAACTCTACAGAGGGTCTTTGTTGATTGAGCAGACAAGTGGTTTATGAATGATGTTCCAGAGAACACTAGAGATTCCGAGAAGTGTCTACGGCCATACCACCTTGAACATACCCAGTCTCACCTGATCTTAGTAGCTAAGCAGGGTTGAGCCTGGTTAATATTGGATGGGAGATTCTGAGAAAGTATCTTGGGGGACCAAGTGAATATGTTCAGGGAGGTGAACCTTCAACCAGAGCAACTCTGTTGTTTTTTTTAAAGAATTGCCATCTTTCCTACTGTTCCCAAAACTGTAGCATAAGAAGCACTTCACTTAAATAACCGGTTAGAATCAGATCTGTCTCATTTCATTAAGGAAACAATTTCTTAAAGTGTCTTCACTTGCTAGAACTCCCAATTCAGTAAAATAATATAAATATTCTTTGGAGATCCTTATAAAGATGATTTAGTGGGTAGACTTATACTTTTAACATTCTTTCTCGAGTTCATTTCTTAATTCAAGAAAGAATGTTTGTAAATGCTCGTTTTTAGTTACCTTATGATGGTATAGCAGTAAACCTCAGACTTTTTTTTGTCTTGTTTTGTTTTGTTTTTTAATATGTATTTTATTTTTGTTGTTGAATAGTAGAGCCCAATCTATGGGCTATAAAATTATCAGAATTATGAGTCTCTAATTATACAATAGGAATAAAATATTGATTTTTATACTTAGAATACAATTGAGAAGTAGTCGTTGAATGTTTGGAAAATATCCTCTGGCTCCTGGGATGACCCTGATGGATGGGTGTAAACTAAGTTTGGGAAGATGGACATGATTCTAATGTGACGCAGAACTGACACATCCCCAACTTCAGTATGGCAAGAGAAGGATGATGATGTCTCTTTAGGCCATTATACTTGTGGTATGTCTGGGCTCAGTAAGGGAAGTTTAGCTTCCCTCCCAGTGGAGGAATGTGGCCTGTTGTATATATCCAGTACTGGGAAATTTTCTACTTCCTATAATAGTTCTCCATTTTTGACTAGCTCTATTAAAAACTTGTTTCTTATGTTGAACCAAAATCCACCTCTCTAACTTTGTCTGTTGGTTTAAACCAGGGGTCCACAAACCATGGCCCATGGTCAAAATCCACCCTGCTGACTGCTTTTGTAAATAAAGTTTTATTGGAACACACCATGCTCATTTGTTTTCATATTGTCTTTGGCTGCTTTTGTACTACAGTAACAGAGTTGAGTTGTTGTAACAGAGACTGTAATTGCTCACAAAGTCAAAAATACTATCTGGTGCTTTAAGAAAAAATATGCAAACTCCCAGGTTAGATCATTGTGTTATCTACGCAAAATAAGCATGACTTTTTCACTTGACTGCTCTTTCATTATTTGAAGATCAATACCAAGCTTCTCTCTTCCTCTCCATTAACTTCTCAGCTATAGCTCAGTGCCTAATTATTTCAGTTCTTCCTGTTTTCTACACTCTGGTTACTCTCTTTAGACATGTTTCAGTTTATCAGTGTCCCTCTAAAACTATGTTGCTCTGTCATGAACATAATGCCATATGTGAGGTCTGACTAGTACAGAATTCAGGAGAATGTTCTTCCATGCTGTGTTTTTGTTAATGTGTCATTTGATTTTCTTTGGTGGTAGATAGACTATGCCTTTGGTTTATGCTGACTTGACTAATTTAAAAAACCCAGTGTGATTTTTCCCCCCCAGCAGTGACTATTATTTTGCCAGGTTTTAACCCTCCTAAACATGTAAAATCGTGAACTCAGAATTTTTAAATACTCAACAAAACTTTTTTTCATTCATTCAGTTTGTGCTTGTTGACCATTTTATCTTCTTCTGTGAAGTGTTTCATTTGAGTTTTTTGCTTATTCAACAAATTGACTCATTGTCTTACTGCATTTTAAGTTTTTTAATATATATATTCTAGGTACAAATAAATCCCTATTAAATGTATATATTGTGAATATTTTCTCCCAGTCTACACCGTAGCTTTTCATTTTCTTAATGGTGTCTTTTAAAGAACATATTAATTTTTTATTTTAATGAGTCCAATAAATCAAATTTTGTTTTTTATGGACTGTCTAAAAAACCTTTTCCTACCAGAAAGTTATAAGACATTTTCCTATGTTTTCTTTTGCACAGTTGTATAGTTTTAGCTTTTTCATGTAAGTCTGTGATCTATTTCATTCATCCTTTTCAAAAACAATACATTCCATTTTTTTTTTGTTGATAAGACTGTTTTTCTAAATTCCTTTTAAACTAAATTACTTAAGTATTTTTTATTGCAAATCAATTGACCATGTATGTGTGGGTCTACTTTTGGACTATATTGTTACATTGATCTACATCTGTGTATCTTGGGGGTAGTCACTGTACAATAAGCACTGGACTGCTTACTTCAAGGTCAGAAGTTCAAGCCCACCAGTCGCTTCTCAGAAACCCTATATAAGGGTCACTATGAGCTGGAACCTACTTGACAGCACTTAACAACAACAACAACACAAATGCCACTCTGGTGTTTTGTTTTTTACTATAACTTTATAATAATCCTTGAAATGAGATATTGCAAGACTAAGAACTTTTTTCTTCTTTTTGAAATTATTCTGGCTCTTTTACTTTTCCATATAAATTTTATAATCTGTTGACGACGTCTACCCCACAAAAAATTTATTCAGATTTCTGTTTGTTTTGAGTATGCAGTCTAGTTTGTATGGTAGCCCTGAAATAGTCAAAAAAAATAAGGAAATGTAGAGTTGTGGCCCAGGAATTTGTATTTTTTAAATCATTTTATTCAGACATATTTAACTTGATTTTTTTCATCCTTTGCCCATAAGATTCCTCTGCTAGAAAAATAAGGGGTCTTTAAAAATGTTGTGAAAAAATGGAATTAGAATATAAAAATTTTAAATACAAGTTTTATTTCTCAACATTAAATTCCATCAAGTTCAAGACACCTTTGTAAGCAATGACATCAGCCATTTAGTTCATTCCTAAAGAACTGATGGTCTAGGAATTTAGCCATGTCAATACAATCTTATTTATATTATTAACTGAAGAAAAATAGTTGCCTTGTAAAGGTTTTTTAGGATTATTGTTAAGTGCCATGGAGTCGGTTCTGACTCATAGTGACCCTTGTATAGGGTTTCCAAGGAGCAGCTGGTAAGTTTACACACTGGGACTATGGTCCAGTGCTCATCCTACAGCGCCACATCAGGACGCCTTTTTTAGGATTAGGAAACAAAAAGATGTCAGAAGGAGCCAAATCAGGTCTGTAAGTTGGATGCCTAAAGGGTTCTCATTGACTTTCTGGTAAAAGGAAGTGAGAGGAGTGAGCAGGCACTTTGACATGATGCAGAAGGACTCTGGTAAAGCTTACCTGGGCATTTTTCTGCTAAAGCTTTAGCAACTTTTCTTAAAACACTCTTACAATATGCAGATGTTATTCTTCCAGAAAGTCAACAAGCAAAATGTCTTGAGCATCCCCCAAAACTGTTGCCTTGACCTTTGCTCTTGACTGATCTGCTTTTGCTTTGACTGAACAACTTCTACCTCCTGACAATCACTGCTTTTTCTTCAGGATTATATTGAGAAAGCCATGTTTCATCTCTCTACTAGCTAGTCCTTTATAGAAACACTCTCCCAACCCTCGGCTTACATCACTGTTATCTGTGCAGAATAAGCATCACCTTTTCACTTGACTGACAGCTCTTTCATTATTTGAAGATCAATATCCAGCTGCTCTCTTCCTCTCCATTAACTTCTCAGCTATAGCTCAGTGCCTAATTATTTCATTTCTTCCTGTTTTCTACACTTGGGTCACTTTCTTTAGACATGTTTCAGTTTATCAGTGTCGCTCCAAAACTATGTTGCCCAGAAATGAACAGAATGTCGTAGATAAGCTCTGACTGGTACAGAATTCAGGAGAATGTTCCTGTTACATTTCTTCTAAGAAATACTTCAGAATCTTGAGCATACTTGTTTTAAATTTTCATAGAAATCTCTGCTTTTGACTACAGCTGGTTGGGTGCAACAGTTTTGGCACCCAGGTAGTAAAAAGTTTACTCAATATTAACTTTTCCATTAAAATTGTATAAGCTAAATCAATTGAAATAGTCGTGAAGTTGGCTCATGTTTCTGCAGTTAATTTGGGGTTCTCTTCAGTTAGGGTCCCAATAAAATTGGCTTCTTGCAAATTGATGTAGGTGGTCTGCCACTGCAGGCTTCATCTTCAACACCATTTCATCCCGTCTTAAAAACAAACGATTCATTTGTAAACTGCTGATTCTTTAGGGTATTGTCCCCGCAAATTTCATAAAGCATCAGTGATTTCACCATTCTTCCACCCACACGTCACTGTAAATTGGATTTCTGTTCTTGCTTCAGGTTTTTCAGAATTCGTGTTGCACTGACAGGGGCTCTTTTCAAACTGACGTCTTATCCTTCCTACTTCCTCAAACTCAACACTGTTCAGACACTGTTATAACAACTTAGTACAAGTTTATTTTAGTGCAAAAATTGTTTTAACTCCATGTTTAGTTTTCTTATAATACATATTTTCCGTGAACTTTTTGAAAATCCCTTATATGTTGTTAGAGACAGGAATTTAAAACATTCCTACTACTAGTCAGCTCTGGGAGGCTACCAGTAGTAGTTAGATAGAAATGAGGCATCTTCATGGTTCACACTGCCGTGGAGTTAATTCTCATTCAAAGTGACTCTATAAGGTAGAGTCGAACTCCTTAGGGTTTTGAGGCTGCAAATCTCTATGAGAGTCAAAAGCATCCTCCTCCCACAGAGCAGCCATGGGTTTGAACCATGGATCTTGTGGTTAGCAGTCCAACACATAACCCCCTTCACCACCAGGGCTCCTCTATAGGGTTTCCAAGGTGTGGCTGCTGGGTTTGAACTGCCAACTTTATAGTTAGCTGTCCAGTGCTTATCCCAGCATCACACCAAGTCCCCAGTTGATACTTGCTGTGTAGTTGGTTCCAACTCATAGTGACCCTGTATAGGATTTCTGAGACTGTTTTTGATGGGTTTGAACCACCGACCTAGTGGTTAGCAGTCCAATGCTTATCCTATGGCACCACTCCAGGACTCCCTGAGTCATTTTGATCGAAGCTCTGTATCAAATATTAAATAATTCCTAGTATGATGCAAAGATCTGAAATCAGAAAACCAAAAAGGAAGAACACACTCAGCTTTCTCAAGCTGGGGAAACTGAAGAAAAAATTCAAGCCTCGATTTTCATTATTGAAAGATTCACTGGACAAATTATTGAATGATGGAGAAAGTATCAAGAGAAGATGGAGGGAATACACAGTCACTGTACCAAAGGGAAATGGTTAATGTTCAACCATTTCAAGAGGTAGCATATGATCAAGAGCCAATGATACTGAAGGAGGAAGTCCAAGGTGCATTGAAGGA